TATATATATATATGTATATATATATATATACATATTTATAGATATATATATATTATTATTATTATTATTTTTATTTTTTAATCCTTTCGAATCGGTTCTTCTCTTTCTGGATATTTCATTACATTATTGACCTTTTGTTAACCTGCGTACGACAAATAAATAAACCAAATCACCTAAACTAACTCTGTTTAAAAATCTCAGTAAACACAATCATTTTCACATTACATGAATATTCTGGAAGAAATATGTCAACTGGAAGTAGCCCAGTCTGCAGCTCTAGCCATTAGAGCCACTACTTGGACTTTAAAATCACATAAATAATTATAGAAAGTAAAATTGACAACACTGTAAAAGTTTATAAAATAGCATGAACTGCTATAACATTTATGACACTTGCGCTGATTTGAAATCAACAACAATCCACTTTGTCCTGGCCCAGCTCAAACTAGCCATTAGCTCATCAGTCCAGTCAGACTTAAACTCTTATTTCTCCAAACTAATGCTGTTCAAACAGCTATCTACAGCTGGTAAGATATTAATTAATGAGAACATTACCACAGAACCTCACAACAAATGATAATTTGTAATTCTTGAATTAAGAAAAGTGTTTTATACATCTATAGTGGTTAAAACTCTAAAAATAACTCAGAAACAGGCTTAAAAATGTATAATAATTATATGAATTTTTGCATTTTTTGCTAGAACAATATAAATTTGTTGTTTGGTGTAAATTAAAACCCAAGTTTAATGTGAACCACTCAGTGAGACACCATTGAAAGTTTTTAAAAGTTGAGTAAGTGCAAATTACTCTGAAACTCAAGGCTGGGTGTCTGTGTTGCAGGTCCGCGGAGGTCCAAGGCTGACGAGAAGCGTGACTACAGTCTCCTCCACCCCTCAGGGCTCCATCACGCTGCCCTCCACCGTCACTCAGGATCTGAGCCCTGAAGAGAAGAAACTGGTCTCCAGACTCCAGTTCAACTTCTACCACCAGAGCACAGTGTTCCAGGTTTACAGACCTTACCATCACCATGGTGAACCATCAAGGCGGGACCAACAAGCTGTTTAGTGATCTGTTGTCTCTGAATGACCCCACAGGACCGCTCACTGGGGGAGCGTAAGCTCATCAGTGGGATCCTAGGAGCGAGTGTGGCCAATCTGTCAATCAAAGGACTGAAAGAGCAAGTTGTGTTTCAGCTGAGCAACTCAGAACCCAAACCTGTGAGTCCAAAACCAGAACACACTCGTCATCAATTTAAACCTGCAGGCTGATCTGTAAATATTTTCCAAACTGCAGGCCAATTATGTTGCAACCTGTGTTTTCTGGGACTTCACAATGAACAGTGAGTTTGTTGGTGTTTTTGAGATCTACTGGAAATGAACGAATACATTTAAACAGTTAGATGACGGGTATGCCTGAGCTGTGTTTTCTGTCTGCAGATAATTCAGGAGGATGGAGTCCAGACGGCTGCTTTGTCCAAAACAGCACCGACAACGAGACCATTTGCAGCTGCAGCCATTTAACCAGTTTTGCTATTCTGCTGGTAAAAAGAAGACTTTTAATGCGTTATATGTTTAATAAAGAAGGGAAATTTCATGAATCTCCATTTGTTTTCAGGACCTCTCTAGGCAGCCTGTCATCAGTAAGGTTCAGGCCACCATCCTCACATTTATCACATATATCGGCTGCGGGGTTTCGGCCATCTTCCTGTCTATAACGCTCCTCACTTACCTGGCCTTCGAGTGAGTCGTTCACCGTTCTGTTTCATCGTCTACTCCCATGTTTGTTTGGCTGTTAGCAAAACGTCATGAGGCAGCTGGTGGATTTGAATGAAACTCTCATATCTACAATGGATAAACTTCTAGAGTCCGTTTCATCACAATTGACCTTAACAAATCCAAAATGTCTATAATTCAGGCAATTTTGCCAATATTAAGTCAAAATTTGATGATAATTGAGAGTTGTCTTCAACAGAGCACCAACTGATTGCACAAGATCTTTATGTAAAACTGTGGAATGCAATGCTAACAGAGGTTTAATTTTTTACATCACCCCTTGCAGGAAGTTGCGTAAAGACATCCCATCCAAAATTCTCATCGAGCTGTGCTTTGCCCTGCTGCTGCTCAACCTGGTCTTCCTGGTGGACGCATGGCTGGCCCTTTATACGGACGCTGTGGGCCTTTGCATTTCCACCGCCTGGTTCCTTCACTACTTCCTGCTGGTGGTCTTCACCTGGATGGGGCTGGAGGGGGTCCACATGTACATGGCCATAGTGAAAGTCTTCAACAACTACACACAGCACTACATGCTGAAGTTCTCCCTGGTGGGCTGGGGGGTCCCGATGCTCGTGGTCATCATCGTCATAGCGATTGATAAAAATAACTATGGCCTTGTGTCTTATGGGAAGTTTACAGACGGCACCAGTGATGACTTGTAAGTTCCTCAAGGGCTCAACTTGCAACAGTTGTTTTGATTTTATAACTAGCAGCAAATAAATCATACGAAAGGGAAGTCAAACTAACCAAGTGGCTCTTCTTCCTTCTTGGTTTTCGCAGCTGCTGGCTGAAAAACGACGTTGCCTTCTATGTTGCCGTTGTGGCCTATTTCTGCGTCATCTTCGTCTTCAACTTCATCATGTTCGTCGTCGTCTTAGTTCAGCTGCATCGGGTCAAGAAGCAGAATCCTCACAATGTGAAGAACCGCATGAGTGTGAAGGATGTGCGCAGTGTGTTAGGGATAACCGTCCTCCTGGGCCTCACCTGGGGCTTTGCCTTTTTTGCCTGGGGGCCCGTTAACCTGCCGTTCATGTACCTCTTTGCCATCTTCAACTCCCTGCAAGGTGAGTGGACATTTCTAACTGTGTTAGTTTTCAACAAAGCAGGATTGATCATGTGACCATTAGCACCAAACCACAAGTTTTCCTGTAAAAAATAGGCTTATTGGAAGCTAAGTGTATAAAAATGAGCTAAAACAAATACTAGCTATATCCTGATGCATGCTCAATAATACTAGCTATAGTTCCCAATACAGGTAATATTTAATATTTAAATGCAGCATTTAGAAAAATCAGCGACACTGACCACACTATGCAGTACAATGTCAAAATCAATTAGCAGATTTAAAACAATGTTGACCAAAGAGCTTCACAAAAGGAAAAAAATGACAATAAATTAAAAGTTCAGACATTTAAAAATATAACAATAGTACAACCAAAACACCAGGACCAGTCTAGATAAATATCTAACATACTAACATGTGACGGAACTCAAACTGATCTTGAATCGATGTAAACCTGTGAGCTTTCAGTCAGGATCCAAGACTGAACAGACTGCAGAACAAATATCAAGAGGCAGGTTGTCCCAGAGTCTGGAGGCTGCCACTGCAACAGACCAATACCCTCCGTTTCAATCAATAATGGCTGCTAAGCCATGTAAAACTTTAAAAGTACGTAAGTAAAATGATCTTACAATCAATACAGCCAGTGTAAATCTATTAAAACAGGATGGATGTGGTCCAGCCTTCTGGTATCTGTTAAAAAGACAAGCAGCAGAGTTCTGGACTAGCTGCAAGCGATGGACAGCTGATTGTTCAATACCAACATATGAAGAGCTGCAGTAGTCCAGTCTAGTAGAGATGAAGACACAGATAAGGTTTGAGGTCTTTTGAGGAAGATTTTGTTTGGACTACAAACAATGTCACTATTACAGTCAAAAATTCCCAAATAGTCTGAAAAAAAGTAACATTTGGATAAATTCATAAAGATAATTCTAAAACTTCTATCCATCCATCTTCTATTATCTTTACCCAGTTCTTCCTATTTGGGTCGCTGGTGTCCACGTCCAGCAGGCACTGTGTGAGAGGCTGGACAGATGGACAGGTCTCAGCCACTGGTGTAGTACTGGGTATACTGTGCATAGAAACCGAAGTGCACCTGTTAGTACAATGTAATTGTCAATTTATTTTGAAGTTTAAGCATAATGAACATTTCAAAATTTCTCTGATGCTTATATTTGAATAAATGTACAACAAACTTTGTACAACAGTTGGTTTTGTATTAAAAACATGTTGTAGAATTTATAAAAGTATCAAAGCAAAACATGCTCAAGTAGCAAGTACTGAAGTATTAATTATTCAAAAAAACAGGATGAACCAACTCAATGGGTCTATAAAGTGTTTCAAATGTGTTGACAATGACACATGCCCAAAATGTCACATATCACTGGGCACTAATTTTTAAGCTTTTCTAGAGGCTATACTCTGTATACCTGCATATTGCATAGACCAGTACACCACTGGTCTCAGCCCATCACAGGAACACAGAGACAAACAAGCATTCACTCTCTGGTAACTCTAAATTGTCCCTAGGTGTGAGTGAGAGAGTGAATGGTTGTTTGTCTCATTTGTCTCTGTGTCCCTGTGATGGGCTGGAGACCTGTCCAGGGTGTCCCCCGCTCTCACACAATGATGGCTGGACATGGACACCAGTGACCCAAAAGGAAGAAGCAGGTAAAGATAATGGATGAATGGGTTTACATGGGTTCCCTCTGTCATTGTTAAAATTGTTTTCCAGAGCGTAGCGTTTATACGGCATTAAAAAAATATTTGTGCTTTGTAGGTTTCTTTATCTTTGTGTTCCACTGCGCGGTGAAGGACAGCGTGAGGAAGCAGTGGAGAACCTACCTGTGCTGTGGCCAAATGAGACTGGCAGAAAACTCAGGTTAGTTGCCGCAAATCTTCCAAACCTCCTCACATGGTTTCTGATCCACCTAAAGGTGCTCCTTCAGAGTAAAAGCCTACAAAAACATTAATCAATTTTGATCTTCTTGCGTCTTTCAGACTGGAGTCGCACTGCAACGCAGAAAACTGTGAGGAGGTCCCTGCCTTCCTTTAACTCCTCGCAGAGAAACTCCTCGTCCAACACCTCCACTTACCTCGTCAGCACTCCTTCAGATGCACCAAATGGCATCAGTAAGTGTGGACTTTTATTATTGTAACATTAAATTGATAGATCATTGAAAGGTTATGAACAAACAATATCTTACCTGCTGTAGATGGGCCTTTGAGACCACAACCACACTCTCAACCTAAAACATCTTTGAGTGTTCATTTACAAATACTATGTCAAAAATGTACACAAGTTAAGGTGAATGCTAATTTATAAACGTGATGTAAATTTTGCAAGTACAAATAGCAGCAGTAGCAGCTAGCTGTAGCATTTTTGATGCATTCTGTAGCACTTTCAGCAGGAATGTTGAATTATTTCAGCTGTAATAAATGCTTTAATGTTCATAAAGAAGTGTTGACATAAACCATTGAGATTTTTTAAGTCCGAGTTGTTTTGAAGCAATTCACTTTGGTCATGGTCTTACTGGGACTAGTCATTAACTCGTAACTAACCTATCTTTTGCTAAACTGAAATCATGCAAAGAGCTACAACAGGTCTGATGTTGGTTTAAAATCTTTCCACAAAAAATTAAAAACACTTCCAGAGACCTAAACAATAGCCAAGTTACATTTTGTGTCACCTTCCATAATATCACAGGCAGCAGAGCCTCATTCAAGCCATCTGTGTTGTATTTACAAACTCCATTAGAAATGATAAACGTGGTGCATTGCAGGTAGTCCGTTTGATGACAGAACCATCACAGCTGATGAAGATCCAAGCATGGATGTGGTGCTGAACGAGATCAACAGGCAGTACAGAAACCACCGAGCGACCTGATAAGAAGAACTAAAATGTGTGTAAATATTGTAAATCAAAGAATCTGTTTATATATATATATATATATACAATATATATTATTTATCTGACTTTTAATAAAGCACAGAAAACTTGGTTCAGTCTCTGTATTATCTTTTCCCAGGAAGTCTTTAGTTTATAAAAAGATTTATTTTTATGCAGATTCAGTTTAAATCACGTCAGATGTTATGCAGCTTCACAAAATGCTCAAACTTCATTACAGATACTGTCATGACAACACTACAGAACACGGCTCAGCCTCTTTCTTTTTTCTTACTCTGATATTTTGTAACAGTTTCTTTTGTCCTATGCCGTCACAGCAGCGCCCTCTAGCGACAAGAAACACGAATTGAACATAAGCGCATTTCTCGTGTAAACTCAAGAACATGACTGAGCTTACAAACCTTTTACTCATGATGATCGTTTTGGACAGATGGTCCCTTTTTGCACGTGTTAAAAGACAGTTTCAGGGAATTCAACGGGAGGTTGGCTTGAAACACATCATCCAAATCCAAAATAAGTTATTTCACCATATAAGTCACATCCATTATGCGTCACCGCTGACAACCCAGAAATGTGGGCTGGTGTTGTGCCGAAAATCGATTGGCTGACAAATGGCAGTCGTGGGAGCGTGCACAGGAGGACTTTAACAAGAATACTTAAAACAATTATTTGGTTGCTCGAAATTATAGCAAAGGTGCCTCAGTTGAACTTTTCTTTTATGGTCAAATCAGCTGCATTTCACCTGGGCAGCACGATGAAATGCAGCTGATTTGACGTTTGCTCCAGGAGTTCTGGAGCGAGACGAAGGTGCCTTGTATGGCAAGCCAAGTGTTTCAATAATAGCCACTTTTACCTATTAATGAGACACTTGGCTTGCCACATTACTCTAAGGCCCTCTACCGGCTGCAAATGGTAATGGTTAATATTTTTCATGCCAGAATGAATGAAATTGTCAGAACTCAGCCCAAAATTGGTTATAAATATGGGGGGGGAATGTATATTAGTCGCGTTGGTGTATAAGTCGCAGGACTTGCAAATGTATGCAAAAAGATGTGACTTATGTGGCGAAAAATATGGTATCAGAACAGAACTTGTTGATTCCAGTGTGTAGCTTTAAAATCATTGACGCCATAATCCCTACAGGTTTTAGAACAAAGATTAAAAAGTTTACTTAAAGCCCCATCGACACACTAGTGATTAAAAAAAATTGTCTGATTTAACAGTTTTTGAAAACTTTTGGCTTTTTATCAGTGGCAGTTGTTACCAAGTCAGATAGGTGCATTTAAATGCATCTCATGAGGCCTAATTATGAAATCTCTGTCTAAAAGGGTTGTCTCAACCTTTCTTGACCAAAAATGAAAATGAAATAAATCAGTACTGAAAAATATTAAACAAAACTCAATCTTCTAAAAAATGCCTTTTAACGTTAAATCATTGTACTAAGTCAAAATAAAACATTTGTCCCTTTTATTGCTTGTAAGACGTAGTTCTCTAAGCACCAATTGTGACAGTTTACATTTCTAAATTAACCATTGTACCCTGGAATTATTCAGTTTTAGATGTGAAAACGTTCAACAATTGTGACAACAACTAACTGGTTTTGTGCATTTTATTTGTTAATTTTTATTTGAGCATTGCTTGCTTAATGTTTTTTAAACCTCCTGCCTTTACGCAGCTGGAGAATAAGAAACTCTTAAAAGTATTCAACAAGTCTACAGATGACAATGCATCAGTTTCAATTTTAAGTTCAGCTTAAAGAATCTATACAGAAAGAAAAGCATGACAAATGTTTTCACATCCAATTAAATCACAATACAAGATATAACATGTACATAAGATGACATTAATATGACTTTGCATTTCATTTAAATTTTATATACTTTTGGCAAAATGGTGCTTTTTGTGTCGTCGGTTATAAGATGTTGCATTCTGCAGCTTCAGCACAAGATGTCACTGTAACATGACGCATGGCATTAAATAAAAACCCTCCACTACATTAAGCAGTACTTGATGACCTCTGTCACTGAGGGGTGTGAATAGTGAATGTTTGTAATTCTGGAGAAGAGTGTTTTTCTGATCTGGAATTGAACAGAGAATGATGCAAACCTTAAGGTCTTTGGTTCATGATATTCAAGTGAATAAGAGTTACACTGTGGAGAACAGAGTTTTTTTTTTTTCTTGTCTTGAGGCAAAGCAGAGTGACGGATCCTGGAGAGTCATTTTATCCACCACCAGGAGCAATGGAGGAGCCAGGGGGTAGCCAATGGTGGCCTTGGACCCCATAGCTTAATTTTTGGCCACCCCAGTAATTTGA